GATCCTACATGAAACAGAGCGTGAGATAAGTATTTATTCACAGTTCATTCTGATGGCCATAAAGCCTCGAAGTAATGGTAAAGCATTAGTAACTCACATTTTTATGAACTTTGAATACTTTTGCGGTACCATTCGAAGCAAAAGCAATTTACAAGACCGCACCCAAATGTTTGCTCAATTTCTGTGCATAAAGTTTGAAACACACACACACCGCGCACACCAACACATCACACACACACACACACACACACACACACACACACACACAACACACACACAACACACACAACGCAGGAAATTCTATAGCGTTGATATAATAGGACTGCTGGAGAAAGTGGAAATGGTTGAAAACTGTGAGACTCCATAACAGGGCTCGGCACGAGCTGGCACCAGGGAAATTTCAAAACGAAGTCCCGTTTGATATTGAAAATTTCGTACGAAGTCCCCTTTGACCTGTTTTGAAGACCCGTCTATTATTTTTAGATTATGTAAAAATAGAGTAGGGTTTTCACGCATGCTGATTCCAAAGAACAACTTTTTACAGCTTTATGAACTTTTTGAGTGGTTGAATCATAGTTGAGAAGCAGAAAAAGCCGATTTTTCGACTGCGGAGCAGACCGAGTAATTTTCAGATGGCTATAAAAGGCTAAAAAAAAAACATTATGGAATTGTTTCTTCTCTGTATGTCAACTTTTTTTACAGTGTAGATACATTTTATGTAAAAAAATATGAAAACTTTTGTGAACAAAGTGTCGATGCCAGCTCAACTGGCACCCAGCTGGCACGCTGCCAGCTAATTCAGAAAAAAGTTCAGCACAGCTTTCATTCACATAAGTTTTCATAAATTTTTGGGCCATAGCTTGGGTCCCCCAACGCGCGTACATACACCAAATTTGGTGTGTATACTTGGGTCCGAATCGAATAGAAATTCGATTATTCGAATAAAACATTCGAATATATTCGTATTCGAAATTCGATATTCGGAGTTCTTCCATTTCCGAATAATATTCGAAACTCGAGTAACTGAGAAAACGGGGTTTCGAAAAAAATTCGAAACTCGAATAATCAAAAAACAGGGTTTCGAATAAAATTCGAAAACTCGAATAATCAAAAAACGAGGTTTCGAATAGATTTTATTCGAATGTTTTATTCGAATGTTTATTCGAATTTGTATTCGAATGTACTCCGTATTGAAATTATTCGACTTTGTTGCAGAGCCATCTGCTGAGTATCAAGCTCACTTCGCCCGCGTTTTTTTTCGCAAAACTCGGTAATGCATCTTTTGCAACCGGTATACCTTTGAACTGTATGGAGAGTCGCATTCTTTCAACTGCTTGCGACAGTAAAAAAATCATATGTGGATTTTGATTGATGTTTTTTCGATCAATGAGATTGTTCGCACTGCTATTGGCACCAAATCAGCAAAGAAGATATCAAATTCAAGCTCATGTTCTGAGTTCATACTGAATTGAAATGGCTGTTCTTCTTTCTTTGCATTGCTCATGCTTACCCTAATTTCACGCGTACAAGGCGCGGGGTGGTCCTAGCTTTCATCGAGCTGCTCAGCCGCCCCAACGTGTTTTAAGAAGCGATCCTTATGCCGCACGATTCGTCAGGCAAAACGCAGCACGGTATGGGGTTCCTTTGGTTGCGGAGTCCTTTGCCGTGTTCGGGCTGGTCGATGAAAGCTAGGACCACCCCGCGCCTTGTACGCGTGAAATTAGGGTACTTAAAGCCCACACTAGTGAGCACTCTTGCTCGCATAAATTATTGCAAAACTGCCTATTCGTTACCTTGGAGTTTTTTGCGCATTGGTGTATATTGAGTGAAGGACATCGCAGTTGTAGTGCAGGATTAGACGGTTTGGAGCGTCGTACGCAATTTGCCAGTTACGAGATGTTTTCAAATGTAATGGCAGCTTACCACAAATGTTTAGCGTGTACAACATACTAAAAAGATAAATGCCCTGCATTCTATACTTTAGAATAAGTTTATGGATAAAATTTACTTTACCGATTTTGTATTATTGGAAAATCTTGAGCTACGGGGTTGGGAGTTAGTTCAAAGGGGTAAGTGAGGGTGCTGATTAAAACCGAAATCTATTTTATTGATTTCAGCAATTTTTGAAAATTTTGAGCTAGGAGTTGGTATAGGGGATACTAGGGGGCTGATTATAATTGGATCGGCTTTGACCGGATATGTCGGCAAGTTTGAGATGTGATTGCTTTAGTTATTCGATAAACTATTCGAATATTTATTCGAAATTCGACTTCCAACGTTCGAATATATTCGATATTCATTCATTCGATATTTTTGATTTTCCGAATTTATTCGATATTCGTTTATTCGAAATTTTTCCTTTTCGAATTTATTCGATATTCATTCATTCGATGAAAAATTATCGAAATACCCAAGTATACGGGACAGCACGCAGTGGCATGCCAGCGGCATTCTTGCGGCTTCTCTCCGCCCCAGACCCCGGAAAAACGACATCCCCTTTGCTTTCCGCCCTAAAACGATATCCAGCTTGACTCGGTGCCAGCCGTGCGGGGCCCTGCTCCATAACTACTGGGTGCCAGCTTTACAATTTGGTGCTTGATAGATAACATGAGGTTTTCACAAAAAAGTTGGTGAAGGTCAAACATTTGCGCCCATCATCCACTACATGTACTGCTATAAAAATTCCGACTGGTGTGGCCATATACTCTAAGCTCTAGAGCCATCACTTATAGTGTCAGATTGATGCAGATATAATGGATTCTCCGTGCGACACGTAGTGTAAATTTAAAAAACGTGTAAAATAACTATTCGATAGAGCAAATCCAGATTTACAAGTCAGCTACCAAACTTTCTTGAAAATCGTGATTCCCATCATGATCATAAGGAGCAAGAATAGAGCAAGAATCATTCAATCAACCGAATTTTGGAACTCTGCCAAAAAAGCTCATGTCTTGAGTAGTTGCTGGATTTGAGACTGGAGGAAACAAAGATAGGCTGAATAAACGGAACTTTGGGATCTCGGGTTTTTTGCTCTAAATGTGATTTCGACAACCAAAGACATACAGGAATGAGATTTTCTATTTGTAGAACACAAGTGCGTATCCTCTGTAACATTAACGATGGAGGCTAGCGCGGCCCGGCTCCACCTCGCTTGAGCTCTGCACTTCATTTCTGAGAGTAATGTATGATTATTTTCATGCCTTGTGAGTTAAAGAGCGGCTCTGCTCAGATTTGCGGGGGGGGGGGGGGCAGGCGGTCTGCAAACTCGCGTTTTCCTGCAGGCAGTGAGCAGAATTTTGGGGCTTGGCCAAACCTTCAGCGGGCGGTACCTCCTTTACTGTCGAACGTTCTGCTAGCGGGGCAGAATACAGAGTTTTCTGCGGGCGCTCGTCAAATAATCTCTTTCCGCGAGCGCTGACCAAACTTTTAGCAGGCGCTCGGACTCTTTTTAAGCAGTTTCAGGGGGACGTCGAACAAATGTGAGACTCTGTGCTGCAGAGGTGTCATCGATGGTTTAACTACTCAAGTTTTAGGTACTTTCTCTTAGCGAAAAGTACCTGAGGGCTGTGCGGTCCTTCACAAAGGACCGTGCGGCCGTCAATAACCTTGCGTATTCTCGCGAAAAGTCCGCGAGAATGCGGCCAATGCGCCGCAACTAATATATAGGAAAACCGCGATGGTTCTCCGAGCGTTTGTCTAATTGGTCAACATTGCTCCAAAGCAAGCGGATCGCAAGAAATCAGCGAACTATTTTTCCGGTGCCCGCTTACTCAAAATTCGCATGGCCGTCTGCCCTCCGCGATTATCTGAGTGATCGTCCATTAAGCGTTGAAAAATGATTGGAAAGGACGCTTGCGAAGAGTTGCGGAGCTTTGCAAAGCGGGTTCTGAGCCGCGCAAGCTCCCGTCACTCTTAATGATAGTATGAGAAACGCGCGATTGTGTTCGCCAATTTTCGGCCGTTGTGTTCTTGTTCCAAATTTTGCAGTCGTAAAAAATACAGCAAATGCATCTAATTTTTGTGTGCGTATATTACAGGCTGACAAAATAGGTTTCTAGTATCTTTATCGGCTGAGGTCCAATTCTAAAGCACTTACTGTTTTAAATTTTGGCTTCAAACTCCATGCATGTTAGGATCCTCGTACATGTCTGTTATCCTTTTGTAAAGCATGATTTGCTCTGATGAGTAGTGCCAAATGTATTTCCTGATATGTTGTGGTTGTAGCAGGATATCTATTAGGTTGGATTGCACATCATTTCTTAAAGGCAGTGTCTCACCAAAATTTAGTTGCAGAGTTTTTTTGCATTTTGCAAGCCTGTCGGACCCTGTTTAGCACGGTATGGGCCTAAAATCACACGAAGTTCCCAAAAACCCCGTTTTCTGGAGGCTGCGCGGAAGCAACGTGGACGAGTTGTACCTTCCACCTTCCGCCAACTTCAGCCTCAGCCACAGTGGCAGCAACACAGGGGAGGTGGATGCCAAGTGGAGGGACGTGTTCAAACGCGTAAGGGGGAAGACCGAAGGGATCGTCCGCGCGTACCAAGTCGCTCTTCGCGTACCACTTTGAGCGATTTTTCCTAGCGTGGAGGGGGTCAAATTGAGTGGGACTTATTGCAGTGGCCTATTTAAAGGCCTCTATAATAGAATATGTAAAAATCCGCGCAACCTCAACTTTGGTGAGACACTGCCTTTAAGGGCCGGGCATACTTCACGCGATTTCGGTCGCGACGCGTTGGCAATGTTTCAACTGTCCATAACTCACTGTGAGCACATTTTAAGTGTACAGAAGATAGGGCATTTTATCAATCCGCGTAAGTTATACACACTATGCATGAGCAGTTCGCTAGTGTTGGATTTAGACTTCTAGCGAATGGCCAAATCGCGTGAAGTATGCCCGGCCCTTTATGATGTTCTCTGAATTGGTACTGCGAGTAGTAAACATACCTGAAGATTTACTGGTTGACTAAGGTTGCTAAGACCGTTTCAGAATATTTTTTAAGAGAATTATACACCATGTGACCCTCCCCCGTTGACCGCAGAGGAAGATGAGCTACCTTCAGTAAGTTTCAAGGCTTTCCATTTCTTTCTTACTTAGTTATTTAGCGTCATAAAAGCATTTGCAGTCATGGATAACGACAATTGCGAACAAGCAGCCAGGTACATCTCATATCTCACAAACATGAACGTGAATATAGTAAATTCTTTAACAACTGTTTTTCAACAAAACCAATCCAAGGTTATATCATGGTAAATTGTTGCTTTTGTTGTGATAAAGGTGTCGAGCGACGCAAAAATTTCTCGTCCATAATGTTAGGCTAAGGTAAGCTGAAGCAGCTCCACTCGTCACAAGAGCTGACAAAATGTCTTTAAAAAGTACACACAGCATCGAATTTTTGTTCGGTTTTTGACGACCCTTTAAATTTGGTTATCGACTTTGATTTCAAATGACGCACGATTTTGATGATAATAGTTGTCGGATTTTCTTGGGAACCTTGAAGGGATACTTATGAATTTCATCCTTTTGTATCCGCTGAATCATCAGCGGTTTCAAATGGCTGTTTGTTAGAAAGCTCTCTGAAGGCAAAACGGTTGAGGATGATCGCAATTTTTCACGTTGTGCACCAGCACTTGGTCGACGTTTACTTAATACCAAAGCAATCCATAAAGAGCACTACATTTCGAAGCCCCAAAAGATTCTAAAACCTCTTGTTCTCAACAAGAACAGATAGAAGATTCACGCCAATATAGAGTGCCTCTAAAATGTATCGAAACGTTTGACCTCTAATGTGCGTAGCTGGATAAAAAGCTTTTGAGGCCATTTGAGAACGTTGTAAAGAAGGCATCACCTTAAAAAGGAATGGTCAGACCTTGACTTGGCCAATCCAAACAAGCGTGAATCATCGCGTCACTTTAAATTGATCTCAAACATATGTTCATTATCGAGGACTATCTAGAAGAGTTGTGAGAGTACGAATATGGGGATTATCCGAATCCCAACGAATAAAGTTCGTTGCAAGGGATTTTAGAACTACAGAGATTATGAATACTCTAATCACAGAGTCGTAACACATTCGAAACCTGCATATGTGCTTTCAAAACGATTTTAAAAGTGCTTTACCAAATGCTTGACACAACCGCACTTTCAAACGCTCATAATTTCTTCTGACTGTAGCTGAAGAGACAATGCACGTAAACAAAGTGTATCAAGCACGCGTTTTAGTCGTTGATAGCTCTCTTCCCACAAAGTTTTTGCCTAGCTCTAATAAGTACCGCTAAGTAAAGCAGGCTTCAACTTAGATTTACAATATAAAGGAAATCACAAATCGCCTCTTCATTAGTATTGAATTACGGTAGGAGCTTCTACATATAGCGCCATCGTGAGATAAATCGTTTAAGAATCGGATAAATTTAGAAAGTTGTGTAGCTGTTTTCAGGCATGCTAATCGAACTTCTAACATTTTTTTAGCGTTTGAATGCTGTTTACCTAACATAACTTGTGAAGAAAGCCTCACGGTAAAGAGCTAATGCCATAATCATTATCAGCGACTCAATTTAACGTGAAGATAGAGTTCCTTGGCTCGATGTGTATCTATTCTAAGGTTTAGATTCACTAGAGATTCTATAGAAGGTGGCTCGTTCCTAATCTTGATGTATGTTAGAACTACCGTAATTCTACATCAATAAACAGCAATCACTTCATTCTCCAAACCGCAAATTCAAGTAGAAGGCAGGTTTGCATTATAAAGGAGGGAGGGGGGGGGAGGAGAGAAGGAGGAGGGGTCATGTAAAGGAGCACGGTTTTTACTGCTAGATTGGCACCAATTAGCGCATTTTTAGTATTTTATGGTGTTCCAGGCAATTCAAATTTTCTTTGGGTAAAAATTGAGAAAAAAATTCTAAGCTTTTGCCAAAGCGATACTAAGCTGTTTCCATTGAGCTGGACTGCAGTGCGGATCCTTGTAAGTATCATCGTGAATTTTCATCATTTTAGAGGCCTTATCTTTCGAAATTTGGCTCAACGGTATTTTCTATGTAATTCGTATTCTGGACTAATCTCTTTTTTGCTCGATTTTCAGCCATGGAAAAAAGTGTTGTTGTACATGTAAACTAAATGGCTAATGTGGAAGGTATATGCGCCAGAATCTTCCGAGTCCTGGGATTATTATGAAAGGAGATACAAATTTGTCGAATTTTTCAGACATCAAAAGCCTTTTAGATTCTTGCTACGGGCTTGTCATGGAGCAAACTTCGCGCGCATATTCTGTGATCATGTCGTAGGGATTATTTGCACTATCGAATTACATGCAATATTTATACATATCTGGAGAAGCGGTATAAAACAAAATTGAAAATAATAATTAACACGAAAATATTAATTAACACATACTAATAAAAAGCCAAACTACTCTTTAATTCTCAAAGTGCATTTATTATTACTGCCCCTTATGATAACCACTAAAGATATTTTTAGTGCCGACGACAAGTACAACCAAGGTAACTACTAAAGCATCACCAACGACTTCGGGAACATCAACGACTTCAAAAAAAGTTGCTGAAATTCAGGGTGAGTCGTTTTGCTGCCGTAGTGATAAAAAGACAAGACTCTTCTCGCACAATTAGATGCAGCAATCAAAATCTTTTTGGTTTTTCGTTCTAAAGTTCCATAGGCTCAGATGTTTTCAAAACGCAATGAGGGAGCTGCACGATCCTCAGTGGCAGCATAAGATACATAGTTGGTCCACAGTACCGCCACTTGCAGGAGCTGCTGGAATGGCTGCACTATGAACCACCTTGCGTAATTCTGAGATGCTCTAAGATTTGCGAAATAAATGGCAACACTTGGTGCTGCTTGCTGAAGTACAGAGTTGAGCCATTATGTTGATTAAGCATGTTGAGTGAAAGTAATCTCACATTTTCTGAGTGAGCGCCATATTCGTCAAATCGAAGATTTAATGAAGATCTATATGGATTTGATGCATCTTTTTGTCCTTTTCCAACTGGTTAATCGCATTGCGGTTAGGCCAGTGGTGAGCAAGAAGAGCGATTGCTGGTGGCAGTAAGCTATACCCTATCCATCCTTTCAGTTCATGCACGGCAGAGATTCAGAGCATTTCCTTCTTTTTTTCAAATCGACTGGAGAGCTGGAAAGACTTTGTTCGCTTGAAAATAATGTTTAATACTTTGTAGTACCAAAAAAAGGTCTCAGGTGAAAATTCGAACTGTTCATTTCTTCAACTGCTTCACATTGCGAAACCTCTCGTATCAGAGCAAAACCTTTTGAGCGTAGCATCCATTCAGCTCTACTCATTTTCACTGAGTCTCATATTCTCTGTGCCCATAATTTACTTTTTTATCATGGAAACAACGTCATAAAATTTCTTGGACTGAAAACTTGACAAATATGGAAAAGCTCAGTAAGAAAAAGAAGAAGCGCTTTTTTACGCAGCTGACAATTGCTAATGTCCCTTACGCACCACTAGAGGTGCGATAGTGGAAGCCGATTCTCCTCCTACCTTCACTTTTGAGCTGGTACAGGGTGACCACCTTCACTTTTGGAATAAAAAATTTTTTCGCTGGACCATAAAGAAGGAAAAAGCAAAACAAATGCAAAAGAGATCACTGAAAGCATATTTTTATGTATACAGCGTCATAAATATCTATAATAAACGTGCTTATCAAATAGTGTATTTGGAAGTAAAACTCAGCGGAACTGTACGTATTCTATTAATTAAATTTTATCATAATGTACAGCGAAGAAAGTAGGTCGATCCAGGCAGAAACGGCCGAGAACCAGAATTTTGAATAATTGATTAGTGAAAAATCATCGAAATTTCCACTTTTATAAATCTTGCGGTTGAAGATGTTAGCAATTGCGACTTCACAGGTTTTGAAGAGTAAATAATGCTCTATAAAATAGTAAAAAATCGAGTGGATTTGAGAGATAGTCGTAGAAAACAGGAATTCTAAAAATTTACGCCATTTTTGCGTGTTTTTTGAAACTGTTGCGACTTCATAGGTTTTGTAGAGTAATGTTTGCCTTATCTGAGTATATCTTAGCCGTACCGATCCACTGAAACAGTGCCGAGATCCAGGGTTTTCAAGAAGCAGGTATAAAAGCGCTTTATGAATTCTTCAGAACTGCATGAATCATGTTGCGACTTTAGGTTAGATTCTTCTCATTAAGAGCTTTCAGATGATATATAATATGTGAGGAGCCTCCTACGAATTATGCCAGGGGGAGGAGACTTTTTATCTCAAAGTCTCCCCTGGCTGCGTCCCTCCAATACACTAAAGTGGGCTAGGAGGAGACTTTGGTATAAAAAGTCTCTCCTCACCCCGGGGCATAATTCGTAGGAGGCTTCAAGCCCCCACATATCTTATATCATCTGAAAGCTCTTGATGAGAAGAATCTAACCTAAAGTCGCAACATGATTCATGCAGTTCTGAAGAACTTATGAGCTGTTGAAATTCAAAAATCGCTTTTTTACCTGCTTCTTCAAAACCCTGGATCTCGGCACTGTTTCAGTGCCGAGATCCAGGGTTCCAGTGGATCGGTACGGCTAAGATATACTCATAAGACAAACCTTACTCTACAAAACCTATGAACTCGCAACATCATGCACATTCACATTCAAGATTTATATGAGTTTAACTTTCAGTTGTCAAAAAACACGCAAAAATGGCGTAAATTTTCAAAATTCTGGTTTTCGACGACTGTCTCTCAAATCGATTCGGTTTCTTTACTTTCTGACAGAGCACCATTTAGTCTTTAAAACCTTTGAAGTCGCAACTGCTGATATCTTCAAAAAACAGATTTATAACAGTGGAAATTTCGCATGATTTTTCACTAATTAATTATTCAAAATTCTGGTTCTCGGCCGTTACTGCCTAGATCGATCTACTTTCTTCGCCGTATATTATAACAAAATTTGATTAATAAAATACGTACAGTTCCGCTGAGTTTTACTTCCAAATACACTATTTGATAAGCACGTTTACTTTAGATATTTACCAGTTGGCAAACCCGGCTCCACCTGGCCCTGTCAATAACATATTTATAATCAGCATTCTCAATTACCCCCCCCCCCTGTGCCAACTCCTAGCCCCATAGCTCAAATTTTGCAAAAAATCGATAAAATCGATATCAGTTGATAACGAAAAGTAGCCTATGACACGCTTCTCGCCCTGAAGTATATGTGTGCCAAGTTTGGTCCAAATCGGTTCATTGAAAAATTTCTATTCCGCACATAAAGTCGAGTAGATTTCGCGGTAAATATAGTGCGCCTGCAGATGCGGCAGCACTTACGCGTGTATAATTGCCGCTGAATGAGAAGTTCTAGGTAATTCCGGTGTTTTCTTTGCTCAATCTTCATTTTTCAGGTATGCTTCAATCGACTAAGAGAAGAAGGTAAGCTAGAAAGCAGTCTTGTTATTTTGGACAGTCAAATCGTCGGTTTTGAGTTCATTTGAGTTCAGGTATTCCTCCTGGGAGCTGCATCGCCTTTGGCGTTTGTAAGATGACCCTTTCTTTCAACTCTTTTCTATCGAAATACGTTTCCTCACCATAGTAGGTCTCTTCATAGTCGTAATACTCACCAACAGTGGTCACCTGAAAGTAACATTGTCTAAGATCAGTACTCCATTTTGCAAGTGAACGTCGAATAAACGAAGAAAACTACAAGCGCGGTATATAAACGTTCTTCGATAAAAAGGAAATGAAAGAAAGGGTAATATCACAAACGCCAAAGGCGATGCAGCTCTCAGAAGGTATATTTGAGTTCAAATGAACTCCACACCGACGATTTGACTGTTCAAAATAACAAAACTGCTTTCTTAACTTACCTTCTTCTCCTAGTCGATTGAAGCATACCTGAAAATGAAGAGTGAGCAAGAAAAACACCGGAATTACCTAGAACTTCTCCTTCGGCGGCAATTATTCACGCGTAAGTGCTGCCGCATCTGCAGGCGCACTATATTTACCGCGAAACCTACTCCACTGTACGTACACACAGACAGACAGACATTCAGTATATATAAGATGACGCTTATACATAAAAATATGCTTTCAGTGATCCTTTTGCATTTGATTTGCTTATTTTCCGCGCACTGGCGGCAACGACTTGGAAGGACATGGAATGGAACGACTCCCCCCCCCCCCCTTCCCCCCCGGTCGACGTTTTTGGAAGGTGAGTGTCCTGCACTACCACCTTCACTTTTGGCCGGCCAGTGGTAGCTGGGACCACCTTCACTTTTAATGGGCCCGGCTCCCCCATCGCACCTCTGCGCACCACGTTCAGCCAACAAGCTCTTTAAAACATTTCCAAAGTCTGCAACCCACGGAATTGACCATGGTCAGGTTTTGCAATTTTTTTTTTTGAACTTTTTACAATTATTTCTCGAAGAAGTCGACAAAGCAGATGGATAGAAGGCTAATAAGCAAGAACTTTCTAGGATTTTGAAAATCATTTTTTTAAGAATGCTGACATTTGACAAACAATTAATTGAAAGTGACTGCACTTCAGTCCTTGAATTTTCAAATTCTCAGAGGTTCAAAACTTGTGCTTCAAGCGTGCGATACTGGCAAACTTTACCCGCTTCAAAAGCTTGTTTAAAGCACCAGGTGCAAGTATGGGTTGACCTACAGACCAGGGCTTTTCAGAGTGAACGTATTTCGAAAGGATTGAAATTGCTGAGTTGGAAATAAGAAAAGAAAGCACTGTTAAGTTTGCTTTTTCGTAAAGTGCTCAACCTTTGCTGAAAATCCAAGGCAACTCCGAAAAAGTTGAATTCTGGCGTTGTGAGGCGAACACTCGAATACTCCTGCATTTTGAAAACTTTGAATTTTAACTTGAAAACCTAGTAAAAAGGGAAAGTTTAGCTGCATCGGATATAACTGACAAAATCCCATGTATCTTTATTTTAACGGATGTGGCGATCAGTCAAAAAATGCAAAATTACTTTTAAGCCAACCTAATGCAATCATCTAGGCCGGTAGTAATCCCCCCGACCTGAAAGCATGTCATCCCGCAGGTCGCCGGCATCTGGCCGTGACGGCCCAGAAATAACATCCCAAATCTAGGCCGTCTCAAGCCCTTTTCCAGGCAAAATTCTGGATGAAGGTGCCACAGGGACTTTAAAGAACCCGTCAAATTTCGAAGTTCCAGGAGTCTTCCTAAGGAGAGTAATGGGAAGCTCAGGAGGATAGCGGAACTTCGCGAGCTCCGTTGCCGGCAACAGCTCGTCCAAATTTGCGAGATGGGAGCTGCCGACAAGTCAGAAAGCACGAGAAATAGCGTGCTTTTTTAAGAGAGGAAGTTGCTGGCATCTTAACACGCCCCTACCACATCGAGGTGCTGGCACCTTGCTAGCGGCGTCTGTGAGCAGTGCGGCATATCACACAATTTACGTCAAGGAAATAAACCAAAAATTTTTACTTTCCATCAAAATATTGTCGTTTTTGTCATGATCTGAGGTTTTTGTGATCAAATCGATGATAATGGAAAAAGAGTTCGGCAGTATCGTAACAACTCTAGCATGATCGCCTCCTTTTTGCCTTCATAACC